GACCAAAACATTTGGCCGTTGGTCACATGTTCTCTGCTGCGGTCAGATTGGCTAACTCTCCCCACACACATTCACAGTGCAGGGAGGAAAAAGTATGTGAACCTTTGGACTTAATAACTGGTTGACCCTCCTTTGGCAGCAATAACCTCAACCAAACGTTTCCTGTAGTTGCAGATCAGACCTGCACAACGATCTGGAGTAATTTTGGACCACTCCTCTTCACAAAACAAAACTGTTTCAGTGTAGCAATATTCTTGGGATGTCTGGTGTGAATCGCTCTCTTAAGGTCATGCCACAGCAATTCAATCGGGTTGAGGTCAGGACTCTGACTGGGGTTCACATACTTTTTCTTGCAACTGTATGACCAGCATTAGAAGGAGCATGGATGGTTAAATAAAAAGTAACAGAAGGGCTAAAAATATTTACCTTTTCTGGAGAATATGCTGCTCAGGGCTCCTTCCAGTGCTGGTGACATGACCAAATCCCTTGGTTGTTGGTCACATGTTCTCTGCTGCAGTCAGATTGGCTAATTCTCCCCTGCAGCAGAGATCACATAACCGAGCACCTAGGCCTTCGCACCTATGACCAGCAATAGAAGGAGCATGGATCAGCATTTCCTCCAGGAAAGGTGTTTACAACCTTCAGCTACCACATAAGTACCCAACAAAATTGTAACATAGTAATTTCTCAGGCCCGCTCTAAAATGTTGACAGGTTTGCTGTAGGACTGAATCATTTGCTTTAAATGTTTGGAAAGGTTTTTGAAACAAAAAATGTTGAGTTTCGTGTGTCTCATGGCTTTGTCACAGCAGCCTTTTTGGGATGCAAAATGCATTTAGAAGAGCCTTTCTATAAAGAGTTTTTATGGACAGAGGAGAGGGCCTTAACTATGTCTGATGGGGTCTCATAGCAAAACCAGACTCCAGTCTTCCATTGCAAAAGTAATTCCTCATAGTAATTGTATAGGGCAGGGGTGTCAAAATCAATTTCATTGAGAGCCAAATCAGCATTATGGATGCTCTCAAAGAGCCAGTTGTATCTGTAAGACTAGATGCCCAGAGCACCCCATCCTCTCCCTTACATCAGATGTCATGAGCCCCCCCCACCATCAGAAGTCAAGAGTTCCCCACCCTCCCTTACATCACAGACACCTTACCATGTGCAGCTGGCAAGTAGAAAGTGCAGGGTCTGGAGGAGGACCAGAGGAGAGCTGGGGTCAGCTGAATGCTGTGACCAGGGGAAGTGGAGACAAAGGGGCACTGTGGCTGCACAGAGAGGTGCAGAATCTGTAGGATAAGTCCTGTCCTGCTCTTTGCTGTCAACTGCTGAAATGGGGGGGGGGGGGGGGGCAAGGTGGCAGAGATGAGACTCCCTGTGGCTGCATGGAGAACTACAGGATCTGGCAGGGGAGTTCTGTTGTCCTCTGTGCTGCCAACTGCTGAGACAAGATGGGGTTGGTGATGAGGAGGGCGCCGCAGTTGCAGGAGAGGTGCGAGGACCACATGTAATCGCCTGGCAGGCCAGATTTGGCCCATGGGCCTTGTGGTTGACAGGTGGTATATGTATTTGCCAAGTGCTGTTGCTAACTGCATAAATCACCATGTAAGCAGACAGCTCTGGCAGTTGCATGGTCTCCTTTGACATAGCTACGCCCTTGGAACAGGGAATCAAATATTTAAAAAGAGGAATTGCCCAAATCTGCACTAAAGTGCTATCTGAATAAAAAAAATAAAAACAAATTGCACACTATAGAGCAGGGTTTCTCAGCCAGGGATGCATGGAATCCTTGGATTCCTCCAGAGGTTGCTAGAGGTTCCATGAGCAGTTTCTGCCTCTCAGCTAAGTCCCCATTGATACCATTGATCTTTTTAGGGGGTAATTCTTCTCAATGACCACAAGAGTTAGAAACATCCTTCCCACTGACCATCACCCTAATGTATCATGGCTTGTAGATATAGTCATTTTTATCAGGGGTTCCCTGAGATTGGAAAGGTATTTCAAGGGTCCCTCTGTGTTGAAAAGGTTGGTCTAGGGCAGGGGTAGGCAACCTGCGGCTCTCCAGCTGTTGCAGGACTACAAGTTCCATCATGCCTCTGCAAGTCATAGCTGTAACTGTCAGTTTTGTAATGTTGCAATGCCTCATGGGAAATGTAGTTCCACAACAGCTAGCGAGCCGCAGGTTGCCTACCCCTGGTCTAGAGTATAGTTTTACAATAACATGTCGGAGTGAGCTGCCTGAAAAATCTCAAAAACAGTCATAACAAAAACAAATGTAAATGCTAAATAAATGTTTCTGCTTTGACCAGAGCCACCAAAATCTCTAAACACTTTTTATACATTCTCTATATTTCCCAGTAGTTCAACAAGTATTTTGGTGTAAAAAGTCCTTTTATTGTCCCAGTAAATAGAAATAACTGCCCCTTGGTTGGACCTTTTATTTTTGTGCAGTAACAGAGGGTATGTCCATACTGCTCTCTTTTAAAACCGACCTTCACCCAAAAATGACATTTATCCCCATATTCCCCATACCCAGCCTGTAACTAAATTGCATTTTTGGGGGGGGGGAGCAGGGGCAGCTGAACCGCCATTTTGGGTGCCTGTTGGTCTGCTGTAGGCCATGCCGGATAGCTAGGGCTCCTTTTCCAGACAGTTTTTCTTTCCTAGATGGCTGTGTAACTCTTTCATATTTGTAAATGAATCTATAAATCTATTTGACTTTGGAGTGACCCTGTCTGGCCTTACCTACTGATTTTATGTTTGCTTCTTACACCTTCTTGTCTGGATGGTAATTGTGATGGTGTCTTTCTTGCTGGTATCCCATGTAAGGATACCCTGTACTATGATATAGATAGTTTTCTTCATATTTGTTACCACCGCTTATGCCATCTTATTTTGTGATCAGTTTCTTTACTGGTCATGCATTTGACACACAGTCAACTACCATCCTAAAACAAAGACAGAAAAGTGAAGCTCTTTCTGGGTGAAACGCGTCGATCTACCATGATTTAAAGCCTGTATATGTTTTTGCTGACTGAATGTAATTGAAGGATAATGGATGTGGCTTTTATTGTACATAATGTATTAATAAAATTGCGTTTTTATTTATATCATTTTGGTATTTTGGCAAATTAAATATAACCATTTTACAGTGTATTCCGTTGGGAAACACTGGGAATATATTTTGTTGCATTGTCCATATTTTAGGGACATTGATACATTGTAACATTGATGTTCTCCACCCACCAAAAGGGCAGGGGCAAGTACGCTTCTTCATGGTAACCGCTCCCACTTCCTCGTTCCTCTCCTTGGCACATCCTTCCCACCACCGCAACCTCCTTGATATAAAGTCACTCACCCGGGGAGGCTACAAGATCAAGTTCATGGCAGTCAACATTCTTGCACCAAGGAGACCAATTCAAAAGGAAGAGGAGAAAAATTTCACCAGCACACCGTGGATCACCAATGTCACACGCCTGGTGAAGGGGTCCTGCAAGCCTCCGAAACATTGCTCTTGCTGTAACAATGTGATCGCTTAATAAAGCTTTGGACCCACATCGGAGATCTATGGTGTGCTGGTGGCATTCTTCTCCTCTGACTGTTCTACAGCACCTGCTTACACATACAGCCATCTTTAAATGCAGGAATGTGAGCGCTGAGATTGTGCATTCAAGTCAAAAGGAAGCCATAACCATCTTCTAAAGCCAAGATGGCAGTGTAGAAGGATCTGAAGCCCTGAGAAGACTACTGGGAAGTCCTGGACTCCATAAACTGCTAAAGATTTCTCAAAAATCAGCAGCTGCAGTATTTATAGCTGCTGACTTTTAATTTTCACAGACCCAAGTGAAGTAGGTTGGCCAGAAATTAAAGTTGAACTATGGGTACAAATTAAAAATCGATACATTGCTGAGCACAAAGAAATTACCCTGTATGTGTATGATAATTTTGTTATTCCCCCACATATCCTACCAAATACCTGTTGATCCTGCCAGAGCTTTCTGTTGTATGTAATTTCCTGTTAGAGGGTAACAATGCTAGGTTGCCTCTTAAGAAACAGCAATGTTGCCTTTACATGAGCTGTGACTACAGCACAACATGCTAACGCTTAGGAGGAGGCATGAACAATACTGATGTCTCCTCTGATGGACAAGCTATTAGCATGTCCACTAGCCACAGGCTTCAACATTTGTTCTGCTCAAGCTGGCTCTGCACACCGTATTCCAAGCTCCCTGGTGCTATGGTTGGTTTCCAATCAGGGGCGGACTGACAACTCATGGGGCCCCCGGGCAATAGGGGATGATGGGGCCCCTGTGTCCTTGCCCAAACTTAAAAAAGCCTATGAAAAAGGTACCAGGGGCATCTCATGGGGCCCCCTACTGACCCCGGGCCCTCGGGCAGTGCCCGAGTTTCCAAATGGTCAGTCCGCCCCTGTTTCTAATAACATGCACCAAATTTGCATAAAGTGCAAGGAGGCTTGGGATTTGTAGTCTATACGTGGCGGAAGCATAAACTTGAATCACTTGTAAGCCACAGGATAGTCTCCTCCATCACTTGCTCTGTTATTGTAAAGAACAGACAGTCTGAAACAATGGATAGTGCAAAAATATGTTTATAGAAAGGCAGTTTTTTTTTTAACATAGGCAACTCTAAATGGCTTTAAATGTTCCCTAGGCAGTAAAAGATTGAGGACTGTCTGAGGTCCAACCTAAACCCAGCTACTGTAGGTTAACTAAGACTGGCTTTTATGGGAAGCATTGCCGTAGATATTCACCAAACTGAACTGGAACCCTTTTCCATTATCTTCCATAACAATAGGTCTGTCTCTTGACAGCTTATATTAAACAATGGGTCAAAGTTTCACACTACCCTTGACCCTAAGGTCAAAGTTCATGAGCTGCTGTATGTAAATCCTTCAACTGTCCACCTATTTAAATGGAAAGATTTCTCAGTTTTTCAGCAAAACATTTCAAGTATGGAATGTCTGGAAACATCACTGTAGGTTCCTCAACATTGTTCCTCTTGTGCTTTGTGTAATAATTCCCAGTAGAGGACAATTTCCTGCGGCTGGACTTCATGAGATGTCACAAGGTTCCGATAAGTGCACACGGAGAATGATGGTTTAGAAGCAAAAAATGTAGGCTGAGTGTGCAGTTCCTGCAATGAGATCTTCAACTTCTCTAGACACATTCCTATGTACACATCCTCAAGTTTAAAAAATGGTACAGATGATGAGATGTTGAAAATCTTTTGGGCAACATCTACCGAGAGCACGTAGCCTGTACCTGAGCAAAATGGGGGGTATTTATCACCACCATACTCCCTTCTACTTATGTACCACTTGCTAAAGATACTACGAATAGGGGAATCATCTGGCTTTAGGATCCCCGTGAAAAGATTTGAAGTCTGATTTTTACGCAAGAGAAGTTCAACAAGGTAATTCGTATTGACAAACATGTCTGTATCCGTTTTCATGATGTACTGTGTCTGAGGGCAGTGATTCACAATCCAATCTAAACCCAATAAAGTTTTTATGGTCAAGTTGTAATAAGTGTCTATAAAATCTTTTTGAATGATATCTTTGTAGGTGTTAAACTCTTCGGCTAAGCTGTCGGGTTTACCGTAGTTCATGCCAAGAAGAAAGAAGGTCACCACTCGCTTTCCCTGGATGAGTTGCTCTTTCCCCCATGTTTTTTGCGGATGGCCATACGTGCCGCTATCTGGTTGTGTGCTGTAGTCACCAGGAGCACCAAAAACGGAGGGTTTTGTTTGCAGTTTGACTCAGGCACCTTCATGAAGAGGTTCCTTTTATAGTCGGTTTTAATGGAAAAAAAATTTTCTGGTTTTTGGAAGCAATAAGGGCAAAAGTCAGGATCATAGATCGTGACGAAGAACCCAAACATACCCAAACAAGGAAAAAACAGGAGTGCCACAAAAACCGCTTTTTTCCGAGGCATCTGGAAAAAAAAATGGAAAGTGGTGTCAATAACAAGATTAATTATACAATAAAAAATAATTATTAATATAGTGTATAAATAAAAATAGAATCCAATACACATAGGGTTCATTTACACTTGCCTAGACATTAACACATATTAACCTCCCTGGCGGTATGATTATTTCAGATTTTTGGTGCTGAAAGCGGTACCATTATTTTGCATGGAAATTTGGCGTTTTATATTATATTATTGTAGGCCTGTAATTTTTAGGAATAACTCACTGAAATCTGTCCGAACAAGAGTCTAGTAAACATCCCGGGTATGATAAAACTTGAAACACGAAATCATAAATTATAATTTAATAAATAATCATAAAAAAAATAATAATATAATAATAAATTTAACTCAATAATGTAATCAAACCAAAAACACTGAAATTTGAAATATAGCGCCAAGTTCACACATCACTGAGCAAAGTCGCAAAATCGCTTTCAGTGTCTGATGAGGAATTTCCCCCACGAATCATTATCACTCAATTCTGCAAGTGGTTCTGATTTACTATCGCTGTTCTCTAGCCGGTCTAAAACCGATTTTGACCTAAAGGGACGCTTTTTGGACGCCATGGACATTTCTCAGTTTCCAGGCAGAAAGAACAGACAAAATGCAGGCAGGGCACAGGACAAAGCACTCGGGACAAAATGTATGTGGAATGGTTTGATACAGTAATGTTTTACTATGTGATTTTAGTGATTTTTGAATGTCACTTTTTGTCATTTTCAAATTTCCCGCCGTTCCGTCCCCCGTACGGCCCGACGCTCACAGAGGACGGAACCCAGATGAGAGATGCCAGCATCTGCCAGATTACATTGCCAGGGACACTGCAGGAGGGACATCGCGGGAGCGCAGGACAAGGTAAGTGACCGAGGGATCGCGGAGCAGCACCGAATGGTATTCCCGAGTGTACCTCAGGGTTAACGCTTGTGGCACTGAAACTTTACCCCGAGCTACACTCGGGAATACCACCAGGGAGGCTACAGCGCCTACAACTTCAAAATGCTTTTTTGATGTTTCGTGAGGCTATTTTGAAGCTTTAATGAAGCTTTGCAAATGCCCTGTGTGTGTTGATTTTCTATTTGCTTTAAAGGGAGTAGAACCCCAGCTCAGTAGTACCACCGCTCAGCAGATCCCCAGCTCATTAGTACCTCTGTTCAGCAGATTCCCAGCTTATTAGTATTCTCATTCAGTGGATCCCCTGCTCAGTAGTACCCCCAGCTCTGCTGATGCCCCACTCAGTAATACCACCAGCTTTGCTGATTTCCCGCTCAGTAGTATCCCCCAGCTCTGCTGTTCCTGGTTTACTGATCCTCCTCTCTCCAGGCCCCGCTCACCTCCTGCAATATTGCTCCCACACTATGAACCACATGTGACATCGCTGGTTTCTCCTGCTTCAGTCCCCCAGCTCTGCTGATCCTCTGGTTTACTGATCCTCCTCTCTCCAGGCCCCGCTCACCTCCTGCAATATTGCTCCCACACTACGCACCACATGTGACATTGCTAGTTTATCCTGCTTCAGTTCCCCAGCTCTGCTGATCCTCTGGTTTACTGATCCTCCCTCTCTCCAGGCCCAGCTCACCTCCTGCAATATTGCTCCCACACTACGCACCACATGTGACATTGCTAGTTTCTCCTGCTTCAGTTCCCCAGCTCTGCTGATCCTCTGGTTTACTGATCCTCCTCTCTCCAGGCCCCGCTCACCTCCCACTATATTGCTCCCACGCTACACACCACGTGTGACATTGCTGGTTTCCCCTGCTTCAGTCCCCCAGCTCTGCTGATTCTCTGCCGCTCAGTCCTCTCTCTCTCTGGTTCCCTTTCACCTTCTACTATAGCATTCCCATGTCGAACTCCATGTGTGCCATATGTTAGTTGCTCCACTTCAGACCCCACTCACCTTTCTGCTGCTCCATGCTGCACACCAGATGTGATGACTGAACCAAACACTTTTGCAATATATATACACATATGCATTGGAAATGACTGCTGCTGACATCTTTGCGGTTTGCTTGATGGTTTCCCAGTGCATCCTGGGATATCTCATACCTGCAATACCTGCAAAGCAAAGCAAAGCTAACTCTGAATAAAAGCCCCTCAAAAGCTGCAGGTGCTGTTAGTCAGCTTTATCTTAGACTTCTATGGAGGCTTTGGAGACAATTTGGAGCACCAAGATAGCATCATGGGGTATAATTTTTGAAGCAAAGGCAAAACAAATGCAATGTATAAACAGGACAGCAAGCTTACCATTTTATTTAGTGGCAGGTGCTTTGATTGGCATTCAGAGTGGTCTATAAAAAGCGTGTCCAATGCCACATTTTGAAGCAAGTGTAAATGAGCCCTTAAAGTGTAAAGATTCAGCTTCAAATATTAAAAATATAAGTATGATTTTTATAGGTTTATGCCTAAAGCTTATCTAAACCCAAAAAAGAATAAGGAGGCTAAAGGACCAGGAACATGGAGTGTCCAGCACTGAACACCTTCCTCTCCAGTTGGTGGGAAGTCTAAACTCTGCTGTCTTCCAGCAATATACCCTCCAGCAGGGGCGGACTGACCATTTGGAAACTCGGGCACTGCCCGAGGGCCTGGGGTCAGTAGGGGGCCCCTGGTACCTTTTTCATAGGCTTTTTTGGGTTTGGGCAAGGACACAGGGGCCCCATGATCCCCTATTGCCCGGGGGCCCCATGAGTTGTCAGTCTGCCCCTGACCAGGAGGCAATAAGCCCAGCCTATGCTGATCTGCCTTGCAGCACAAAAAGCAAATAAGTCACTGGTCACACCATTGCAATTTAAAATTGTACAATTTATGTGCAATTTCAGTGTGATTTCTGAAGACTTTATTGCTACTTATGAAGATTTCCAACAATTTCTTGCAATTTGCAGTGCAATTTCCATTATATTCTATGTATGTGAAATCGCAACAAAACTGCTGAAAAACGAATGCATGACGTACTTTAGAAATTGAGCTGCGGCAAATCACAAATGATAAGACACTGACATTCACATTCATTAGATGCGATTCCAATTCGCAAATCGCACCGGTATCATTGGGCACTAAAAAAAATCAAAATACAGGCGTACCTCGGTTTACAAATGTCTTGATTAACGTAATTTTTGGTATACGAATGAAAATCCATTGAAAATAATCCCTCGGTTTACAAATTTTCTTGCAATACGAACAGATTACTTGGTTTTCAATGCCTTTACAAATTTTTTTTTAATCATATCCCTTTATGCTTTTAACCTCCCTGGCGGTATGATTATGTCAGGAATTTTGTACCAAAAGCGGTACCCTTTTTTTGCATGGAAATTTGGTGTTATGTATTGTAGGCCTGCAATTCTTAGTAATTACTTACTTAATAAATACTCATAAAAAATAATAATATAATAATAAATTTAATTCAATAATATAATCAAACCAAAAACCCTGAAATTTGAAATATAGCGCCAAGTTGGCACATCACTGAGCAAAGTCGCAAAATCGTTTTCAGTGTCTGATGATGAATTTCCCCCACGAATCATTATCACTCAATTCTGCAAGTGGTTCTGATTTACTATCGCTGTTCTCTAGCCGGTCTAAAACCGCTTTGGACCTAAAGGGACCCTTTTTGGATGCCATGGACGTTTCTCAGTTTCCAGGCAGAAAGAACAGACAAAATGTAGGCAGGGCACAGGACAAAGCACTCGTGACAAAATATATGTGAAATGCTTTGATACAGGAATGTTTTGCTATGAAATAATCATTTTTAAAAAAATGTCATTTTTTTTAAATTTTCAAATTTGCCGCCGGTTCCGGCACCCGTACGTCAAGACGTCACAGGGACCGGAACACGGAAGCAGGATGCCGGCATCAGCCGGAGGAGAAATGGCCGGGGACGCTGCAGGTACGCATCGCGGGAGCGAAGGACAAGGTAAGCGCTGTAAGGAATCCCAGAGCAATGCCGCATGATAAGCCCGAGTGTAGCTCGGGGTTACCGCTTTTGGTACTGAAACTTTACCCCGAGCTACACTCGGGAATACCGCTAGAGAGGTTAAAGTGCACTTTATAAAGAGTTTTGAACAGATAAAACTTTTTTTTACTTTTTTCTGACCTCCGGAACGGATTAATTGGTTTTCAATGCATTTCCAAATTAATTTTTAATCATGTCCCTGTACAGTATTTATGCTTTTAAAGTGCACTTTAGAAAGAGTTTTGAACAGATAAAAGACTTTTTTTTTTTTAACTTTTTCCTGACCTCTGGAACGGATTAATTGGTTTTCAATGCATTCCTATGCAAAACCTCTTTTCGGTTTACAAATTTTTCACAATATGAAAACGCATTAAATTCGTAAACCGAGGTACGCCTGTACGTTTTGTTAGCATTTGTGTAAAAGGGAGGGGGGTAGGGACAAAATAAGCAATAGTTGTTTGAGTGAGTTTAGCTCTGCTTTAATGACTATAAGGGATAATGCCCGACACCTCGGGGGCGGGATAAACTAATCAAGGGCTGCTGCATAAAAGGTAGAGGTGTCTCGCACTATTAGACAGTGACACCTAAAGGGGAACCAGGGGAGCTGCACTGACAATGCTTCTGCACTTCTCTACATAAGCATCAATAATGATTTTGTATTCTGATGTTTAATTAGTGATCGTAACTGCTTTAATCAGAACGGGAATTGAGAGTAAATCTCCTAACATAGCCCCAGAATGCAGTAAAATCCTGATAAAAGTTCTAATTTTTCCCCACTCTATTCAAAACAAGAAAACAAGTTTTCGGCTTGGCATGCAGTTTAACCCCTTGACACGGAT